TCTCCTCTCCTCTCCTCTCCTCTCCTCTCCTCTCCTCGAGTATCCTGCAGGCACTGTGACATCAAGAAATTTCAGGTTGGTGTTAGAACAGAGGTTCTAACTGTACATCAAACCAAAATAAGCCAGAACTATGACAGAACTGAATTATCCTGTCCCTGCAGCTTGATAAAAAAAAATTTAAATTAGTTTTCTGTTGCATCTTTGGAACAAAACGTAGAGATGTTCTTGGGGCATGAAAATGTAGAGCAGGACTTTCTGTTTTATTTTCAGCTGCGACCTCAGCTAATGTTGGCTAAAAAATATTTAAGTAAATATAAAATAAAGGCCTTTGTTTTAGCCTGCTCTGTTAGAAACCAAATCCATATCTGCCTGAGTATATGGAAGTTCAAAACATTCACTTGAGCCAGCTTGACCCTGCTTTTTCCTCCTTTCCTGTCACAAATATATTCACTAAATGAAAGGGCACACTTCTGCTGCCAGTTTTCACAGTTATGATTCAGTTTTCACACAGCTTCCAATGGAAAACCAGGACCCATTTCCGTGGACATGAATTAAACAGTATTTGCCTCAGTGTGTTGCAAAGCTAAGTGGTTAATGCATTTAAGCAATGACTTAGGGGTTTGAATCAATTCTCACCTTCTCCATAAACAGATTTCTGTAACACAGTACAGGCACTACCACTAAGTGCAGGGAAGCCTTTGATGAGTTCTGTGATGCCGTGGCATTTTTTAAAGGGAAAAATAAGAAATTAATAGGAATTATTGACAAGCAACATGACAAGTATTTCAGTGCTATTTAATCTATTTTATAGAATCATAGAATATTAAGTGTTGTAAGGGACCTTAAAAATCATCTATTCCCATCCACCCTTATCATGAGCAAGGAAGCTAGACCACTAGACCAATTTGCTCAAGGCTTTATCCAACTTGTCTTTGCACAGTGCCAGGGTTGGGGCATCCACATCCTCCCTGGGTAACCTGTTCCAGTGTCTCACCACCCTCAAGAATTTCTTCCTAATTCCTAACCTAACCTTTCCCTCTTTCAATTTTTACCTGTTACTCCTTGTCCTATCACTACAGTTTCTGACGAAGAGTGCCTCTCTGGCTTTCCTGTAGGACCCTTCAGATACTGGAAGACTGCTATCAGGTTTCCAGGCAGCCTTTTCTCCTTCAGGCTGAACAGCCCCAACTTTCTCAGCCTGTCTTTGTAGAAGAGGTGTTCCAGTCCTTTTACCAACTTTATATCCGTTCTCTGGGCTTGCTCCAAGAGTTCCTTGACCTTCTTATGCTGGGACATCAGAACTGTATGCAGTACTCCAAGTATATCAGCTTGAGGTTTATCAGAGAGAAATTTATCAGCTTGAGAGAGAAATCAGGGATATTTATCAGCTTAAGAGAAGCTATTTGGTTAAATTTATATCTCTAAACTAAATTCAGGCTTTGACATCAGGAAAGGTATTGACTCATTGGTTTTATATTTCTTAAGGTGCTCAGGTTTTGGTTTATGAAATATGGTTTTCTGATGTTGAAAGAAACAAAGTACATAATTTTCAGTTCATAATTGTCTGATTCTTGTTTTGACATAAGCACTAGC